ACGACTCGCGAGTCAACCTATGAAAAGCGAGTCCATGTTTATACGAAAATACCTCTATGATTGGCGAATTTTAAGATTGCTGGGAACTACGAAAAGCGGGGGACCACTGTATATATATATACAGTGGACCCCCGTCTTACGATGGCATTGCGTTACGTTAAATCCGCAATACGATACATTTTTACGCAAAAATTTTGCCTCGCCTCAAGTGATTCGGCCGGGACGCGTCCCACATGTGGCCTGAGTGCGCCTCAACTGCCCCGTGGGTGCCAGCGTTTACAAGCCAGCCAGTGCGGTTGCATCCACGCATACATTCGGTACATTTCATATAATCACAGTATTTTTAGTGATCATAGCTACAAAATAAGTCACCATGGGCCCCAAGAAAGCTTCTAGTGCCAACCCTGTGGTAAAAAGGGTGAAAATTACTATGGAAATGAAGAAAGAGATAACTGCTAAGTATGAAAGTGGAGTGCGTGTCTCGGAGCTGGCCAGGTTGTATACCAAACCCCAATCAACCATCGCTACTATTGTGGCCAACAAAACGACAATCAAGGAAGCTGTTCTTGCAAAAGGTGTAAGTTTGTTTTCAAAACAGAGATCGCAAGTACTCGAAGATGTTGAGAGACTGTTATTGGTGTGGATAAACGAAAAACAGATAGCAGGAGATACCATCTCTCAAGCAATCATATGTAAAAAGGGTGAGAAATACGTACTATTGTCCCACGGTCAGCTGCTGCTGCACCACGGTCAGCTGCTGCTGCTGCACCACGGTCTGCTGCTGCTGCACCACCGTCAGCTGTTTCTGACCAACATGACTCGTCCCGAACCTATTCATCTAGCCCTGCCGTCATTGTTTACAAGCCAGGGTGGCCGGTTGCATGCATACATTCGATACATTTTGCATTATTCCATTGTTTATAGTGCTTGTAACTGCTAAATAAGCCACCATGGGCCCAAAGAAAGCTTCTAGTGCCAACCCTGTGGTAAAAAGGGTGAGAAATACGTACTATCGTACCACGGTCAGCTGCTGCTGCACCAAAGTCAGCTGTTGCTGCACCACAGTCAGCTGTTGCTGCACCACAGTCAGCAGTTGCTGCACCACAGTCAGCTGTTGCTGTTGCTGCTGCTGCATCACCATCATCTGCTGCTGCTGCTACACCACCATCATCTGTTGCTGCTGCTGCACCACCATCAGCTGTTGCTCCACCACAGTCAGCTGTACTACTGAAGATGTTGAGTGTGTGTTGTTTGTGTGGCTTAATGGGAAACAATTACCGAGAAACAATTAACCCCAGATGGCTAGCCACCCAAGATAACCCAAGAAAGCCAGTGCATCATCGATGACTGTCTAACTTATTTCCACTGGGGTCCTTAATCTTGTCCCCCAGGATGCGACCCACAACAGTCGACTAACACCCTGGTGAACAGGAAAAAATGCCTGGAACTAGTGCTCATATTGGTGAATTTAAGGCCAGCAAAGGTTGGTTTGAGAGATTTAAAAATTGTAGTGGCATACACAGTGCGATAAGGCATGGCGAAGCTGAAAAATTCCAACCCCAACATGTGTTCATTTGTGACGAAACATGCCTGTTCTGGAAGAAAATGCCAAACAGGACCTACATTACTCAGGAGGAAAAGGCACTCCCAAGACATAAGCCTATGAAAGACAGGTTAACTCTCATGTTTTGTTGTAATGCTAGTGGGGATTGCCAAGTGAAGCCTTTACTCATGTATCACTCTGAAAATCTCAGTGTGTTCAAGAAAAACAGTGTCTCATCACTCATCAATACTCTTCAATAAAGGTAAGTGTCATTTTAACATTTATTTATGTAGTTATTGTGGATGTCTTATTGTTTTCTATGTAGGGAAATGTATATTTCATGAAAAAAAAATTTTTAGTACTTTTGGCTGTCTATAACGGATTAATTGGATTTCCATTATTTCTTATGGGGAAAATTAATTCAGCTAACGATAATTTCGGCTAACAATGAACTCTCAGGAACGGATATCGTTAGGCAAGGGTCTACTGTATACATACATACATACATGCATACATACATACACAGTCTAACCTCTACTTACGAGTGCATCCACGTGCGAGATTTTCCAGATACGAGCAGCTGCTCCGTCTATTTTTTGCTTCCAGACGCGAGCAAAATTTCCAGATGCGAGCGGGTCTCAAGGGAGATTAATTGACACTGGTGAAGGGGATCTTGCTCTCGATCTAGGGAATTGGATCTCATTTGTTTGTTGGACTATCTTATTGAAACTTAGGCAATTTATGATTAAAAGATGCTTCTTAACCCTTCGACTTTCACAAGGCCCTTTCTGAAACTGTCATTCTGTCGCAAAAGTTTTTGGAAAAAAAAAAAAATTTCTTCTTACGAAATGATGGAGAATCTTTTCCCGATGGTAATGACACCAAAAGTACGAGATTTGGTCGAAAACTCATGGAATTACAGTCCTGCGAAGTTAGCGGTCTCGGCGACATATACGCATCGGCAAATTTGCCGACTTTGAGCCCTGTTTTTGGCCAATTCCATTGTTCCAGTTGACCAAACTCAGCTATTTCTTTAGAACTCCGTTTTTTCTATCAGTTGAGTACAAGAAACCACCCATTCACCGATTTGAACTACCCAATAAAGTGGTCAGAAATTGGCAATTTGGCCAATTTCATGCAAATTAAAAAAGATGCCAATTTCAAAATAGAGTCCAGAATAAACAATGTAGACATTCTTGGCACTAAAATAACATATCCTCTGTTCATTAGTCACGTCTCTAGGCCCTCTTATATTACTATTGCTTTCAATTTTGATTTTTTATTCATGCAAAAAAATACAAAATTTACTGTTATGCAGACTAATGCATTATTGTAAAAATTATATAAATAATATCAGTGCACTAGTGAAAGAATTGGACTCCCCAGTTGACGTGTATTGGACGTGTGGTGTAATTTGTTACTTCTGAACATTGGTAAAAATCAAACATTTCTGCTACTTTGAGTTCAATTTCAAGGTCATTTTTATCGTGAAAGTAATGAAAATCACCTCAGTTTCTGTAATATGTTTTCCATTTTATCACCTGAGACCATGAAAACAAAATTACAACGATAAATACTGTACAAAAATACACCTCAAAGTCGGCGTTTTAATCCAAAAAAAACGGTCAGCTTTTTTTTTCTTATTACGCACTGCGTGTTGCAGGATTTTTTTTATGTGGTGCACACTGACCACACAGACCCATTCTCTCACATGTGGGCCTACCAGCTTTCTCCTGCTTGATTTGAAGCCGCTAGAATTTACGTGTATAAATACGTCAGAAACAGTGGCACATAAGACGTATATATACGACATAAACAGTCAAAGGGTTAACATACACCAAAAATGAAAGAAATCAGACCACAAATAATGGAGTTCACTTCTCAGTCATTACCCTCCCCTTAGCAGTATATTTTCACATGGTTTTTATGGTTGTATTCTCATTTTAATTCGTCTCATGTGATAGAATGGAAGATATACTACAAAAATAAATATGATTTTAGTTGGTTTCACAATGAAAAGTACCTTGAAATTGAGCTCAAAATAGCAGAAAAGTTGGATTCTTTGGTGACTTCAGTGATACACATCATAAGGTAGCAGTGGCAGACAACATGAAGGAGTGGCAGTGTCGCATTAAGAGTGTAGCAATTAAGTGTAGCATTAAGAGTGTAGCAATGAAGTGGAGTATTAAGAGTGAAGCAATTGAGTGGAACAATTAAGTGGAGCAATTAAGTGAAGCATTAAGAGTGTAGCACTTATATGTTACTCTGACTTTTTTGGGTTATCCTATTTTCTCTACACATGTAGTCAGAAGCAGGAATGGCTGCTGTGGTGGCCCTATAAACCCCAACAATGGCTGCTGTCACCACCACTAGCCACAAACCTAATGACATGTATTTTATTCATTTTAGTGTATATGTGTATATGTTCATTTAGTGTATATGTTTCTATGTTATTAATATTGTTTATTATGTCATATTACATAAATTGTGATAGATAAATAAGCTGTAGAGGTGATATTAGGGAAATTATTAAAGTATTTTCTCGTGCCTGGAATTCCACTGGAACGAATTAATCTCATTTCAATTAATTTAAATGAGGAAAATTGACTCTGCAAACGACCAAATCCAGTTGCGAGCAAGGTCATGGAACGGATTAAACCCGTAAGTAGAGGTTCCACTGTATATATATATACATACACACTTACTCAACACTTAGTTTCGACAAAATTTTGAACATAATCAGTTTCAAGCAATGAGATAATTAGATAATTTAATTATCAATTTGTGTTACCAACATTTCATCATATTCAAATTTCTCAACTTTTTGGCACTCACCAACAGCCTGATTGGTCAGGGACAAGGTACCAATTAGCAAATGGAAGTTCTAGTTGCCACCATTCCTTGGACTCAACAACTTACATGGGTTAAGCATTTCATGAAATTCAATACAATCAATTTCTTGTACATCTTAACGAACTGAAGTGAATCATACAAATTTTTTACTGCCATACAGTTCAAAAGAATGGTACCAGGATTCTATTCATCCTCTATTCTCTTCCATTTTTCTTTAACAAAACTGCCACCCCAGATTTCCAGAACTACTAGCTTAAGATGAAGATAAATTCTCTCTCATACACACACATTTGTCTAACTCAAGCTTCAAACGCTCATTCTCACCTTTACTAGTTTCAACATATGCCATACTCTTCATGAACCTTTAAATAGTTCAATTACCTCTATCTTAATACTATACATATACAGTATTTTACAAACAATATCTTATATCAAAAGCTATGAGATAGAGAAAGGAGGTTGAATTAACAAAAAGGTCTGAGGATTGTGTCTGAATAACAAAAAATGTGCTGAATCCAAATCTGCATTCCTTTAAGTCTCAGGCTGGTTATAAGGGAGTAAGTACAACACCTTCAAAGATAAAGGGGTCCATGTTTAATTTTACTCACAGTTTTGCGATGTGTTGTATGTTCGAGTTCGATACATTTGATCAGCTAGAAAATAAACATAATATGTCAGAACACACTGAACTCATGATTACTGTTATTTTTCTATAAAATGAAAAATCATTAACATACATTGGGTAATTAGTATGCAATCCTTCAGCTGACATTATACACCTAATATAGAATCAATATCAATATACACTGTGTAGAAAATTAAATATCACATTAGGACAATAAAATACAGCACTATATTACAACAAATATGTGCAATATATGCAATTCACATACTGCAATGATAAGTGTAGATAGGTAGCTTTGAAAACTGAAGAGCACTTTGACCCTGAAAGTCATTCTGTACTCAGTATAGTTAAAAGTTTTTTAAATTCTTTGTTTATACAGTAGACTGTCAGTTGGAACAGTGGTTACATTCCTGAAAATTCAGTATATAATCTAATTTACTACTTGCTAATTTGAAGAACATGTGGGAAAAACAGGGTTACATTCTAGAGACCTCCAAAACAACCAGCAACGTTTTTACATATACCTTAAAATGGGGGGGAGGGGGAATGTGGGCCTATTTGGCCAAGAAGAATGTAGTGAGGTTTATCATCACACACATCTACAAACCAACACATAATATGTCAACATTAATAAAAATACATCACTTTTCTTTATCAAACTGAACCAAACATATAGGAACTCACCACATCTAATACCAAACAAACATATACTAAAGATGATTGAACTTTAAAAAATAAAAAGCAAGATAAATAAATACTAAATATGAAATGTTGCGAGAGGCTGTGTCCAGAAGATGCAGAGTGAGCTGCAGCTTTGGCTCCCAGCAATATTGCACGACAGCAGACTTCTAATATAATTTAACTCTTCAATACATATCTGAATTTATGTACAACTTTTATTTTGTATGAACTATTCATATGAGGCACATATCATGCTTAGGGGAAAGAAAAGGTAACAACACATACTTTGGTTCAGACCAAAGTCAGAGTAAGAAGGGAAATGAGATGCACCCTCTTCTCTTGAGGAATTACTGCTATAATGATAATATGATAATACAACAGAGGCAGCAGCTAGCAGGAGACATGCAAACCTAACGAAAACTTTGATTATGCACGATTGTTAATAATCCAATAAAGTCCTCTTCTACTGACCTTTTGTTTGTTCTTGATATGAAGGCACTGAACATTCTTTTCAAACATTCTACACACATATAAATTAATCATTCATATTTTTTTTTATTAACACATCAGCCAATTCCCACCAAGGATGGGTAGCCCAAAAAAGAAAAACTTTCATCACCATTCACTCCATCACTGTCTTGCCAAAGGGGAGCTTTACACTACAGTTATAAAACTACAACATTAACACCCTTCCATCAGAGTGCAGACACTGTACTTCCCATCTCCAGGACTCAAGTCCAGCCTGCTAGTTTCCCTGAATCCCTTCATAAATGTTACTTTAATTGCACTTCAACAGCAAGTGAATTATTAAAAACCATTTGTCTCCATTCACTCATATCAAATACACTCATGCATGCCTGCTGGAAGTCCAAGCCCCTCACACACAAAACCTCCTTTACCCCCTCCCTCCAACCTTTCCTAGGAAGACCCCTACCCTGCCTTCCCTCAACTACAGACTTACACTCTCAAAAGTCATTCTGTTTCATTCCATTTTCTCTACATGTCCAAACCACCTCAACAACCACTCCTCAGCCCTCTGGACAATAGTTTTGGTAATCCCACACTTCCTCCTAATTTCCAAATTACGAATTCTCTGCATTATGTTCACACCACACATTGCCCTCAGACATCTCCACTGCCTCCAGCCTTCTCCTCACTGCAACATGTCTCTACAGATTCATCAGTGCACCACTCACCCTTTTCCCCTCATCAATTCTATGATTCACCTCATCTTTCATAAACCCATCCGCTGACACGTCCACTCCCAAATATCTGAATACGTTCACCTCCTCCATACTCTCTCCCTCCAATCTGATATCCAATCTTTCATCACCTAATCTTTTTGTCATCCTCATAACCTTACTCTTTCCTGTATTCACTTTTAATTTTCTTCTTTTGCATACCCTACCAAATTCATCCACCAACCTCTGCAACTTCTCTTCAGGATCTCCTGAGAGCACAGTGTCATCAGCAAAGAGCAACTGTGACAACTCCCACTTTATGTGTGATTCTTTATCTTTTAACTCCACGCCTCTTGCCAAGACCCTCGCATTTACTTCTCTTACAACCCCATCTATAAATATATTAAACAACCACGGTGACATCACACATCCTTGTCTAAGGCCTACTTTTACCGGGAAATAATTTCCCTCTTTCCTACATACTCTAACTTGAGCCTCACTATCCTCGTAAAAACTCTTCACTGCTTTCAGTAACCTACCTCCTACACCATACACCTGCAACATCTGCCACATTGCCCCCCTATCCACCCTGTCATACGCCTTTTCCAAATCCATAAATGCCACAAAAACCTCTTTAGCCTTATCTAAATACTGTTCACTTATATGTTTCACTTAATAATAATAGTAATAATAATAATAATATTATTATATTATTTTCTCAGTTGTTTGTTGGGTTATCTTATTCAAATTTGGGCAATGTATGATGGAAAGATACTTCTTCACGTACACCAAAAATTAAAGAAATCAGACCATAAATAGCTGAGTTCACTTCTCAGCCATTAGCGGCCGCTTAGCTGTATATTTTTGTATTTTTATGGTTATACACCTACCATCCGACTTATGACAGAGTTCGGTTCCGAGAAACCGGTCGTAAGTCGAAATGGTCATAAGTCGAAATGGTCGTAAGTCGAATTTTACTACTGAATATCAACAAAACATTTTTGTAATGACTATTTTATTGTTTTATTTGGTATTTCATGTTTTACTTTACTTTTTATGCTGTTAGTACTGTATTTTATACTGTAAAGTTTAGGATAAACACTGTGTACAACACAAATAGTTGTTTATTTCCCAGAAATGTGTCGGTTCTTTGAACCATTCATCTACAATCCTTCAAACACTGCAACTTCTTGGGATCTCAATACTTGGGAATTCTTTGCTTGCCTAACCCTTGGGCACGACCTACTTCCACATTGGACAAATGTGACACCACCTACGACTGCTGCACCTCTCCTGCCATACGGTTTATAAGCTGCTTCTCCGCTCATACGCCGTATTCTATTCAAGATTGATGGACTGACCACATCGACTCAAGGTTGAGGGACTGATTACCTCATTCTCCTCCTGTTCTTCAAGTTTATCCTTTGTATGGACTGATGAAGCCACTGTGTGGCAAAACGTTTCCTCAATAAAGATACCCAAGAGTTGCACGTGTCTAATTTAACAATGTGTCGGTTCTTTGAACCATTCATCCAGAAATAGACATGATTTTGATTGCTTTCATTATGAAAAGTACCTTGAAATTGAGCTCAAAGTAGTGGAAATGTTTGATTTTTGCCTATGTTCAATGAACTGTGTAAGTCAAGTTGGTTAATTTTATTAAGTGTATTCTAACCTAACCACTGTGTAATCCGACAAACTCAGTAATCCGGCACACTACAGGTCCCAATGATGCCGGATTTGTGATGGAGGACCTGTAGCTGAAATCGGTAAATGGGCAGTTTCCTGTACTCAATCGATAGAAAAAACAAAGTTCTAAAGAAATAGCTATGAGTTTGGTCGACTGGAACAATGGAATTAGCCGAAAATAGGGCTCAAAGTGGGCGAAATCTCCCATTTGTAAATATCGCTGAGGTCGCTAACTTTACGAGAGCGTAATTCTGTCAATTTTCCATCAAATTTCGTTTTTTTGGTGTCATTATGATTGGGAAAAGATTCTCTATCATTTCATAAGAAAAAATAATTTTTTTTTTTTAAATTTTGCGACACCAGGAGACACCTCAGGATTGGGGGTTGCGACAGTCGAAGGGTTAACTCTCTCCAAATTTTTTTCTTATTTTCATTAAAATTTCTTGACAGTGCTTCTCCCACTCTATCAGCTGCTATCCTTTTGCACTCTCTCACCACTCTCTTCACCTTTCTTTTACTCTCCACACACTCTACTCTTCTTATAACACTTCTGCTTTGTAAAAACCTCTCATAAGCTTACTTTTTCTCTTTTATCACACCCTTTACTTCTTCATTCCACCAATTACTCCTCTTTCCTCCTGCACCCACCCTCCTATAACCACAAACTTCTGACCCACATTCTAATACTGCATTTTTAAAACTATTCCAACCCTCTTCAACAGCCCCCCACTACTCATACTTGCACCAGCCCACCTCTCTGCCAATAGTTGCTTATATCTCACCCGAACTTCCTCCTCCTTTAGTTTATACACTTTCACCTCCCTCTTGCTTGTTGTTGCCATTTTCCTCTTTTTCCATCTACTTCTTACTCTAACTGTAGCTACAACTAAATAATGATCCAACATATCAGTTGCCCCTCTATAAACGTGTTTATTTTATAAATTCTCCATGGAGAAGTGGAACAGAATTCTTCCTCCATAAGCCATGTGTGTTGTAAGAGACGAATAAAATGCCAGGAGCGAGGGGCTAGTAACCCCTTCTCCTGTATGTATTACTAAATTTAAAAGGAGAAGCTTTTGTTTTTCCTTTTGGGCCACCCTGCCTCGGTGGGATATAGCCAGTTTGTTGCAAGATGGTTTTATAAATTTGGGAAAACATTAAGCAAAAATAAAAATATCCAGTGGGTATGACTTGCTGCTTAGCAAGGGTGTGAGGCTGAGGGGATGGGGGGCTATCATTGCTTGGGGATGGTGACTTGGGAAAGCGCTGCTTAGCAAGGGTGTGAGGCTGAGGGGATGGGGGGCTATCATTGCTTGGGGATGGTGACTTGGGAAAGCACTGCTTATTGCCTGTCAAGCAGAGTCATTTTTGAAGACATATGCATTCAATACCGATCACTTCCCTGTACTCGCCTAGTTGTACTCACCTAGTTGAGGTTGCAGGGGTTGAGTCCAAGCTCCTGGGCCCGCCTCTTCAC